TCAATGAATGTAGCAAAATAGCGAGAAACTCCAATGGGCTGAACTGAAGTAGGACTCCATACATCAGTATGCACCAACTTCATCTTCTTTGACTTCCCCATTGACCATTTCTTGGAGAAAAAAACTTTCTTCTATTTGTCATATATAAAATCTTCATAAAAACCTATATCAATTGATTTCAAACCCTGAAACTTATTTTTAGAAAGTATGGACGTCATACATTTCTTGATTATATGGCCATGCCTATGGTGCCACAGACTTCCATCCACCCTAGTTCCTGTCATATCAATGAAATCAGTCATTTCATTGATCAAATAAAAGGTACCTGAAAAGTTGTCCCAAGCCATCACTAATGTCCCCTAGTTACCTTCCACAAATCACCAGTGAAAGTTGTTAAAAGTCCCGACTTTGTCAGCTGACTCACAAAGATGAGATTTCTTTTCAAACTAGTAACATTTCTTACTCCAATAAGTTTCCAAATTGTTCCATTCGGCAACTTATCAACATCACCCTTTCCTACTGTACTGCAAGCCTTATTATCTCTCAAATAAACCTTCCCTAGATCACTCTGAGTGTAGTTTTTAAATATCACCTAACTTCTATAGTAGGTGTCTAACCAATATCACTTTACCGTGATTTAGTTGATACTTGGTCGTTCCATCAAGCTTTAGATCTATAGAAGGGATATCTGGCTTCACATGCTTCAAAGCATGTGCTGGGGCAGTGGCTCCCGTTGAGAAGTTAGCTCCCTCTATGAGCCCGATCAAGAAATTCAGAACTTCAGGATATATCTTCCTCAGAAGCTCAAAACAATTACCATCTACACTATCTCTGTCTCCTTAAATCCTCAATCACAATATTATTTCACACAGATAACAATTGAATTTGATCATTCGCGTTTGCAGGCGGCAATCTCGTCCTTGCCTTCCAAGTCAGCACATCGCAATCCCGTGGTTGCCTCCTCAGTTAACTATAATCACGATTGTGTCGCCAAGAGATAGGTCACAATCCCGTATGTGCCTTCCCAGTTAGCTGTAATCGTGATTGTATCAATAGAGTCCACGTTCCAATTCCTTCGCTGCCTTCCCAACTAGCACTAATCATGATTGGATCTTTACAAGGGCAAGCATGAAAAGAGGCACATGAATCCACTACCCAAAATTCAGTGCCGACTAGGAAAAATATCAATAAGTCATTTTGGATTTCACCAGGGCAGACATTAGTTAAGGAACTACTTTACTGTCCTTCACCGAGCTTTCCTTGGAGCTTTGCACTTCTTGTTGAAAAGCCCCTTAAGGCAAATCCAACATTCTACTCTACTTGATTTGGGCTTCCCTTTCTTGAACCTGGATCAAACTTTGCCTGTATTCCTGCCAAGGTTACTTCCCCTGTTATCAGCATTCACTGCAACCTAAAAATTCACATTCGTTGCTTTTCCGTAACTTCTTCATTCAACATCAGATCCAGAATGTCATTACAGTTCCACTTTGAAGTCCTTGAAGAATTACTAACCATCATTACCAAACCATCTCAGCTGTCTGAAAAAGAAGATAATATCACCGGTGCTTTGACCTCATCATTAAACTTGATCCCCATAGAACACAGCTGGCACACAACAATGTTGAAGTTATTAAGACGCCTAAGCGCAAAAAAATGCGTAGTACTCCAATCAAAACCCGAGTTCATATGAGCCAAAAACTGTGTAGTTCTCATATGTGCAAAGATCTCCCCTTTCTTGCACTCCGGATCACCACAACTCGACCTAGGTGACATGTGATCAAGATCTTGACATTGCCACTCAAGCTATATAGAGTGCTCCTGAATCTATCTACCACCTTAAACCACTATTTCAATGTCACATTGAATCTGAAACACCCTCATGTGGTTCTCAGTCCCAACATAAGTTAACTTCAGCTTTGACCAGATGTCCTTCACCTATCGAATGACATCCACTGAAAAGGCAATCGATTGAACCATCAAGTTGAAAAGTCAGGTGTAAAGTAACGCACATCCCCCTCAGCATTGTCACCCTCTAGCTCAGCCTTAAAACCAATCAGATATCCTTCTAGTCTATTCCCTATTATAGCAGCCTCGATACGAAGCGACCAACTCAGATACTTGGTCGTTCCATCAAGCTTTAGATCTATAGAAGGGATATCTGGCTTCACATGCTTCAAAGCATGTGCTGGGGCAGTGGCTCCCGTTGAGAAGTTAGCTCCCTCTATGAGCCCGATCAAGAAATTCAGAACTTCAGGATATATCTTCCTCAGAAGCTCAAAACAATTACCATCTACACTATCTCTGTCTCCTTAAATCCTCAATCACAATATTATTTCACACAGATAACAATTGAATTTGATCATTCGCGTTTGCAGGCGGCAATCTCGTCCTTGCCTTCCAAGTCAGCACATCGCAATCCCGTGGTTGCCTCCTCAGTTAACTATAATCACGATTGTGTCGCCAAGAGATAGGTCACAATCCCGTATGTGCCTTCCCAGTTAGCTGTAATCGTGATTGTATCAATAGAGTCCACGTTCCAATTCCTTCGCTGCCTTCCCAACTAGCACTAATCATGATTGGATCGACAGAGTAACGCTGCAATCACATCGGCTCCTTCTTTGAGCAGTGTGCATTTTGCATTCAAATAAAACAAAAAGTATAAAAGCGAGCTGAAAAACACAAAAGAACCAGCATGGTTGGTGTCATCCTCAACCACGCTCAAAAAATCAAAGTCACAAGTGTGAGCTTCCCAAAAAAAAAGACCTATCCAAATCAAGCTTAGCACAAAAATAGGCTGCCTTGTCGCAATCCATATGTGCAAAAAAGAAAAAAACCTGTCTGAACTCCTTTAAGAAAAAAAAATCAGTATTCATGGCAGTGTGTTGTTCAATCCTACCCTCCATTTTCTGAAAAGAGTCAACGACAATTGCATTATCACTTTCAATAATCATCATTCATTTCAAACATCCACGCATGTGTTATCTTGCTAATAAAAATCATCGCATCATGCTCCACTCAAGAGCTGTCCCAATGAATCAAGTTATGCCACGCCGCAAGGATAACTTTCCCAATTTCGTCTCGGATCATGATCCCCATGCCGGCTTGGCCATTATTAGAAAAAGCACCATCAATGTTGTCTTTTAAGCAACCCAGATGAGGGGATACCAAGACTGAGGAGAGAACCGACTATTCGGCCGAGTAGTCCCCCCATTGCTCCGAGATGTAAAAGGCCTTAATTTTGGTGAGAGAAGAATGAATATTGGCCGCCAAAATTCTCGATGTACCAAATGGGCAGTTGTGTGATTTAGCGTTCCGCGCACGCCAGCATCGATACACCACATAACAATAGAGTCTACCTGTCGCAAGAGGAGAATGGGGAAGTCGGCTTAATCCAGCAACAACTTCCTCGAAAGTGTTGAAGCTAGGAGTGTGAAAACCCCATCGAGCATGGCAGCCCATTGTTTCACTTAAGACTCTACATTTGACCGTGTTATGAGTATAATCCTCAATTACATCACACCCTCGTGGGCAGAGGGGTCCTCCCTGATGTGTCAAGATAATAGTCAATAGTTAGTAGGAATTGCTATGTGGAGTAGCCTCCACCAAAACATAAATTCTCGCAGGCGATGCTCAAGCTTTCGAATCCAATTGTTGTATTTCACTGCATTATCAAAGAATTTAATGTATGACAATGTTGTAATTGTCCTCCCCGAGAGAGCAAGAAAAATTCCTGCGCGATCCAAACTGGACTGCTTCAGTTGTTGCACCGAGCAGATAGTGTTGATGAGCTCAAGACCGAACTAATTACGAATAAAGTGCTCATTCCAAGTATTGTCAATAAGAAGAATTTCCACATGTAAATCTTCAGGTATCTCCACGCAAACAAAGGTAGGCCGCTTCAGAATGGGCAGCTCCAAAATCCAGATATCACATAAAATGATAATATTGTTTCCCGAGCAGACCTCCCATCTAATGATGTTTCATATAGCCTCTGCCCCATCCGTAATAATCCTTCAGGCCTGTGAGTCCGTGCGGTTGTAATCTCTGCTCCATGGATTGGCTTCATATTTCTCCACCAAGCAATTATAGGGAATGTTAGTGGGGTTTTGTAAAAACCTCAGGTCCTTCGCCCACATAGGAGCTTTCCCAGCTAGCACTTATCGAGACTAGATTGTTATAATCACCGCGCAATCCCATCATTGCCTTCCGGGTTAGCTCTAATCGATACCGCTTCGCAAGGACAAAGCGTAAGGAAAAAAAATGGGAGTTCTGACCCAATCCCAACTCGCAGAAAACGACAGCGGCTAGGTTTATCTTTGATATCATAAGTAATTCTCTTGAAAAACTTGTTCTATTCATTAACCACTTGGGGTTATACAGGGCCGTACAACATATTATAAATAAATCCCTACACTTCTATATTTCCTATTTATAATTAGAATTCTAAACTAAATACAAATCTCAACAGTCTCCAACCTTTCCTCACTGTCGCCATCCCGGAGAGCCATCCTTTTTATTGTCCTGTAGCCCACCATCCTTCTCCATGCTGCAGCCACCTCAAAAAGCCTTTCGGTTACTGTTTTCTGCAGTTCAAGCTGTAATCATCACCTTCCCCTCCCTCTTCGTTGTCATCACAGATCTAGCCTCCACCTTCGCTGCCTCCACTCTTCCATCCCCCAGCCTTGTTGTTTTTGCTATCGTTCAGCCATTCAATACAGCTGTCGTCACCCAGCAATCCCTCACCTTGTTGTTTATAGAACATAAGAAATCCACAACTGCTCTTTGTACCCACTCACTAAAACCTCTGTATCTTCCATTTTACATCAATGAATTTGTTTTTTTATAATATATATATATATATATATACAAACACACACACACATACATGCGTACATATAAGAATTGTATGGCATGCATGTAAAGGCCCCTAGTTCATTCAATCTATTAAATTCTGACCAGTAACTATATCCATAATTGTCATATAAGCGGCACAGCCTTACCTTGATAAATCTTTCTTTTTACGAAATGTAGTTCGTAGCATTGTGTCAAGTTTATCCTGAACAAAATCCTGCACTTCTACATGAATCGTCTCCCATAAAGCATCTGCTACTAGTGTGTCACAACGTTGCATCATTGAACCAACACTTTTTATGTAACTCACAAGCTCTAATAAAGCTTTTCTTTCATCTGAGGTGTAGTTCCAGCGCACCACCTACAATTACAAGTCAAAGCTTAAAGTATATGATTAAAAAAGGCCAAAAAAAGGAAGATTTACATACATATCACTCAATTCTTATGTATTTACATATCTAACAGCTAAATTTTAATTTTTACATGCATACCACTTAACTGTACACGAAAATGTGTATTTAACTTTTCGAAAGTTAAATGGTGGATTTCTTATGTGATATGGAAGATTTGGGTGGTATAAATATAAAAAGTAAAATTTAATTGTTAGATATATAAATTTATAGGTATAATGCCCCAAAAATATATTAATACAAATAAAAGGAGAAGCCAATTTAAAAATCAAAATGGCAGTGTTGTTACCCTTAAACATAGTGTTGGAACATAGAAAAGAAAGATTATGACACTATGCCGAAACAAAGAGCAGATGAATCCTAATTCTTCAATAAGAAAGCCAAATACAGTTTATACCAGAAGATGCACAGCAAAGTTAGTCAACCAAAAATGGAAGGGAGCTACCAGTTATGTTAAGAAAAAAAGAAAAACAGTAAAACCGTATATAGGTTTCTTATTAAAAACGTGGTTGTTTTCCGTGGTTTTGGAAAGGAAGGTATAGATGGGATGACCGTAGGATGCAAGAAGATCCCACAAAGTACGAATACCAAAAAATTTAATAGTTCAGAATAGTTCCTGATTTGAAGCAGCTCTTTTTAATCCCCTCTTGATTGTTTTCTTATTCCTTACATCCTTCCAGAATTATTTCCTGAATTCTAACAGCCTTAACATACTAAAATCAAGTGCAGGGCTGCATTTCCACACATAGCATCCTAAATTTATTTATAGGGGCACTAAAATACATACCACCCAATGTATTTACATATCTAACATGTAAACTTTCTTTTTACATTTATACCACTCAAATCTTTCATATCGCATAAAAAATACACCATTTTAACTTCTAAAAAGTGAAATACACTTTTTTGTGCATACATGAGGTGGTATGTATGTAAAATTGAAGTTTAGGTGTTAGATATGCAAATACATAGGAATTGAGTGGTATGCATATATATATATCTTGGTTATTTATAATAGGATGAGAAAGTACGGCCGCAGTAATTTTTTTAGTTCAGTGTTTTTAAAATTTATGTGTGTCTAACCACATTAGTTCAAGACAAGTAACAGAAACAACCACACAAAGGAAACCAAAAAGCACCAGACCAACCATTGCCAATACCATCTCCCACTGCAATCATTCATCAGTTCCAAGCTTATTCCAATTTCCAAAGGTTACCACAAATTCATCAAGGTATTCTTATTCGAGCATTGTAGGCATCATTACAGTGACGAGCTCTAATGTTTAAAATTTGCCAAAGAAAACTACCGCTGCATGAAAGTATCATAGTGACTCATAGCGTAACACACCACAGTTGCACAAGTCACCATTATTATTTAAAACATATATGAAACATGGCCAAAACAATTTGCAGGCCATTAGAACCATGAAAAGGAAAGGTTGCGACACCGAACTAGGGCAACTAGCCATTGTGGAAAAGTTAGCAAATGGGTTAAAAGGGATGTAGGACAAGGAACAGAAGAAGGAACGGAGGAATATGCTGATGTAAGGGAAGTTAGAGCAATTTGGCGGCCGCCTGCTCAGAAAATAGCAAGTCCAAAGGCAAAGCAGTAAGGAACGAACAACGAGGCGGTTACACCACTTATAATCTTCAAAATAAAGATTCACCATTCGAAGAAAATTAGTTTACCGCGCCCCAAAAAGGAGAAAATCAAGAGAAATATCTCTAAATAACATAAACCACACAAAAAGTGTTCAAACCAAGTATAAAACAATATATCCACGCTAAAACACAAATTAAACATAAGTAAAAAGCAAAATAAAAAAAAGGAAAAAAAGGATCCAAAGGACTCATGACAGTAAAAATGGTAAGAAATCCCACTGAAGGCCGCTCCTGAGATGAGAGTTCGCTAGGTTCGACTCACACAATCAAGGAATGCAATCAAGGAATTACGCATTCCCAGTAATTTGGATCATATGGCCACATCACGGAGAATCCTGAGATCGCGGGAGTTTTGATCCCCTTCTGCATTACTCTCTCAAGATAAGAAAGGCTTCTTCTCTTGGGAACCGACCAAATCCCACAATCTGATGTTCTTTCCCACCAAACACCTAAAAAAATTCCCAAAATAGTGGTTCACCACTCCTAATCTAGTCATATATCTAGGAATGCACTATTCATCTGAACTAGAAATTAATACCAAACTTACTTCATTGAGTCCTAGGAGGTAGATAGAAGTCAAAAAATCTGAAATCATTTTAGCAGGAGCTGTCATATGTCTCGCATCGACCCTCAAATTCATTGCCTTCTAAGATAGCTAATGCTTGTCCCACTGATACTTCTCTCAATAACTGAAAAAAGATAGTTCATGGCACCATATTCTCAATCTTTGAATGAACACCCAATATCTCGAATTCCTTTCCAGATATGAGTACAATGTGTTTCTCACTTTTGGTGAAAAAATGTGTTCCTATTGGTGTAAGCATGCCAAATTGCCTTATGAGCTAGCTTGGGCTCCACTTTATAAGAGGCCTATGAGTTGAGCTCAACGAGCAAACAAGATGCCTCAAACTCCACCATGGTGTCAAAAAAGCCCTCTTCTTTTCTTGTTTTTCTTTTGGGTGGGGACTTTTTAAATGTCCCTTACCTTACAGTTTGTAATTGATTTCACTTGAATGAATCACTCTTTTTTTGCAATATATATATATATATATTATAGAAAGAGCAACTCATGGCCCCTTACGCGTTATGTCAAAAAGGCGGTTACAAGAAATCAGTGGGAAAATTGGATCCCCGCTAAAAATAAATAAAATACATAAGGTCATACAGGTTCCTTTTTCCTCAAATCAACTCCACCCAAAAAAAAAAGTTGAAACAAAATGAAATGTAACCAAAATATACATGTATCAAACCAAAACGTATACCCAAAGAAGTGACATATACCCTCTATTAAATATATATCAAAAGAAGTGAAGGTAATAAAATTTGTAAGCCAACAAACGACATCTTGAGATTATATATATATATATATATATTTATATAAACGCCCAAGGGCTAATTTTATTGACATTGAAAAGATACATAGAGGTTGTATGAGAGGACCCAAAAAAAGGTATCATACCCATACGATACATCAGACACTAGCCTCCTAAAAGGATGAAACATAGATAAAACAAAAAAAAAACAAAACTTGTAGGAAATAAGCTGCTAGGCACGAGCTAGTTTGGTCTTGTCTCTGTCTCAAGTTCTAGGAGCGGAGGTAGCTAACAAATTGCTGAGTGTCGCTTCATTACCCGAAGTTACTAGAGTATCATCCATTAAGTTCCCAAGCTCAGGTGTGCCTCCATTCTTCTTTTCCTTTCTAGATGTGTATACCTATCATTCCTCATCCGAGGAATGGATCATCTAATCGGTGTGGTCAACAAATTGTTGAGCATGTAGAAGAGAATGAGCCCCCAGCTCCTGACTAACATTAACAACATTCTGATTCTGAATAGATGGCAAGCATGTCTCTTCAACACCTGATGCATCCTAGGAATGTAGAGCTTCAATACTATCCTGATTATCAGACCCAAGTAAACCATCTGCCAATATATCAGTCAGAAGAACAGAGACAGTATTGTCTCTAGTAGTGGGAGGGAGAGGTGGCATCGTGTCAATCTGTGTTTCAATAGTCTGTGGAATGCACTCAGGAGCGGAGGGTCAGGTATGATGTGGGGCAGATCCAGAAGAGTTTTTACTTGAAGGTTTTAAATTTGGATGCAACTGATAACATTGAGAAGGAGAATGTCCAAAATTACAACAGTGGTACAATAAAGTGGTATCTGTTCAAGTTCTGTTTGCTGTCAAAATCCATGATGTTGTGTACCAATCCATATTTATCCCATAAAAGGTAAAGTAATATCCCTTTCTATCAAAATTCTGGCTTCTGAAGTCCGAGTCAGATTCACTATAAGCATGTCAGGTTTGAGGGGTTTATCGTATACCATCGCTAAAGCGAAGAGAAGCTCTTCATCAAAAATGTGGATCTTCAAACCTAGGAAGCGCAGTCAAACAAGAATGGTAGGAGGTTCAGTACGATGGTCAAAATCCACCGTCCATTTTAAAACCTTCATCGCCTAATTTTTTATTCGAAGAACTCTTCTCGCAAACAAATGGGTGTAGTCTTCGTCATTTGATAATTGAATAAGAATGTGGTGATCATCCAATACACCAATCTTCCAACCCACTTGCAGCTTCATTTGCTCAAAGTCATTTCGAATTAGCTCAAGTTTTGGGTTGACATAAAGAAACTTACCTACTAAGAAAAGTTGGCAGGGCGCAGCAAGGGTGGAGATGACTGCCTCAATGAGAAATATTTCAAGTTTGTTATACGGGAAGCTTTTTTGAGAAATCCGGTTTCAATGCCAAGAGCAAAATTATCGTGGTATCAGAGGCAGAGATCTATATATATATATATACATGGATTAAGGCTTATAATAATAATAATATGATATATATATATATATATATATATTATAAAAAGCCCAAGGGCTGATTTTATTGAAATAGAAAAAGGATACATAAAGGTTGAATGACAAAAGCCTAAAGAAGGCACCCTACCATACGATACAAGTACAGTAATAACCCAACAAAAGATATAGATAGACTCATTAAAATGTAAAACAAATTTAAAACATTCACAAAACAAGTTGCTAGGGACGATCCAGTTTAATCTTGTCTCTTCCTCTAATTTTAGGAGAGGAACCAGATAACAAATTTTGAAGAGTCGTGTCATTTCCAAGAGTCACCAAAGTATCATCCATTAAGTTTCCAAGTTGGAGTGAGACCCCAGCCTTCTTCTTCCGCCGAGACGTGTAAACCTGTCATTCTTCATCAGAAGACTGGCTCATGTGATCCTCGAACTGATTTGATGTTAGCACCGCAGTAAGAGGAAAGACAATCGTTGTCA